TAGTTTTATTGTATGTTTAGAATACCATTGAGTAGTAGTGTTTATAATGGGTACTATTGTGGTGTTCTTGATTTTAATAGGAATGATTCTGTATTTTCCTCATTTAGTATATAATATTTGCTGCAAGCTTCTGGTAATCTATCCTTTATCAAGTTAAGGAAGTTCTCTTCTATTTCTTGTTTACTAAAAGTTGTTATTCTGAATGAGTGTTGAATTTTATCAAATGTGCTTTTGGCATTTATTCAGATGACCATATGGCTTTATTCCATTAATGTATCCTACACCATTCTTGTTTTTGGATTTATTTCTTTTTTTTGACTCAGTACATTTTGAATAATTTTTTTAGAAATAGTGGTAGGTGCATACATATACAAGAAGTTTTCATTTTGTCCATACATATAGAAGAAGTTTTCATTTTGTCATCACCCTCGAATACTCATTAGGCTGTATATAAAATTCTTATTCCAACTACTTCTCAACAGATTTTTGATGTTTTTACTCTCATGGTCTTCCAGTGTCACTGATAAAATGTACTCTGATATAAATAAATTTTGTTTGTTTGCTTTCTGTCTTGAGAATTTGTTTCTTTTCTATCCCTGAAATTCTGAAATTTTACTAAAATGTAACTTATGCCCCTTCTGAGTCTTGGGAATATCTTTGTTCTATGATTTCATTATTTTTTCCCTTTTTATTTTTCCATTCTCTTCTTAAATTCCTTTTAAGATGGATGTTGGACCTTTGGAATTGCTCCTTCATTGTCTCTTAACTTTCTTCTCATTTCTTTCTCTCTTGTACTTCTTACTCTTCATTCTAGGAGACTCTCTTGATTTTGTCTTATGGATCCCTAATTCAGTCTTCAGCCATGTCCATTCTGTTATGCAGGCCTTCTGTGGGAATTTTCTTTTTAAAAGATTTCATTTATTTATTTTAGAGAGAGAGTGCACATGCAGTGGGGAAGAGCAGAAGGGGAGGAAAATGGAGGGGGAAAGAATCTCAAACAGACTCCATGCTGAGCAGAGCCTGACACAGGGCTCGATCTCACAACAGTGAGATCATGATCTGAGCTGAAACTAAGAGCTGGACTGAGCCACCCAGGTACCCCTCTATCTGAATTTTCATTTCAGGGTTCATATATTTAACTTCCAAGTCTCTCCCGTGTTCTTTTCTTATTCCCTTTTGTAGCAGCTTGTTTGTTAATGTTATATGTAGTATTCTTTTCGGTATCTCTGAGGACACTGAGTAGAATTTTTTTCTAAAAAAAGTCTCTTCCGTTCCATGACTGACCTCTTTTCCCCTGGAGTAATTTGTAGTTTCTCTGTTTTGACCTTTTGCCTTCGTCAGTTTTCCCTGAAAGTCATGAATGAAAGATTATAGTATCAGTATGGCTGGCTGGCGTGGGTATCCTTGACAGATGTGCTTCTGCATTGCATCGCTCAGTCATTGGGAGGGCTGGCCATCCCAGTCTCTAATTGCGAAGAAGCATCAGTTGTCTGGCTTCCTCTTGTGATCTTCAATGTAGGTGGTCCTAGCAGATGGTAGGCAGGTGAAGAGGGTGTAAGCCAGTGTTAGAGAACTTTCCTACCAAGGTAAGACTACTTTGCCTTTTTTTTTTAAGATTTTTATTTATTTGAGAGAAAGTGAGAGTGAGAGATAGAAAGAGAGAGAGAGAATGAGCAGGAGGAGAGTGAGAAGGAGGAGAGGGAGAAGCAGGCTCCCCTCTGAGCAGGGAGCTGACTTGGGGCTTGATCCCAAGACCCTGAGATCATGACCTGAGCCTAAGGCAGATGCCTAACCAACTGAGCCACCTGGGTGCCCTGTAGACTACTTTTGTGTTGCCAGTCACACCACCTCATTACTTTAAAAATAATTTTTTGTTGTTATTTTAAGGGATTTGAGATGGGAGGAAAATTAGGTGCACATGGCCCATATGCTGTTTTGAGCTAGTAACCTCTGTAGGCTCTTCACTTTTTGTTTTTCAATGATTTCTCAGCTCTACATTTATTACTCATTTTATCTTACAATGAGGGATGCCTTCTTGGTAATTAAAGAAAAGTCTTAGGGTGTTATGGCAATTATAGGGTCAGTGCAGATGGAAAGGTCAAACCTTGCCAGAATTGCCCTCAGCTACCACCACTGGCCTGGTTACCCCGAGCCCCCTTTCCTCCGTGCTTTGTGGCAGAGGTTGTAAAGACAAAGGACCTTGATGGGCTTGAATACAGACTTTGGTTTCCTGAATTTTCTAGTGCCAGCTTTGCTGATCACAGAGCAAATGAGGTTCCTTGCATTCTCCAATTCCTCTTTTTGAAAGTGTGCTTTGAGGACAATTGTACTGTGGAAAATAAGAAGAAATATAAGTAGGTGCTTTCCAATGTGCGTATAGTTTGATTTTTCCTGCATAGCAGGTGTGTTTACGTGCTCTTGTCATGAGAGAAAGTCACTCACTCTGGATGGTGCCCCCACCCCACAGTGTGCACTGCAGGGAAGAGAAGCAGTGCATAGTTAGCATGGATGAGCTCCTGCTTCCCTGCCCACAGCGTGGGGGACCAAGAGTGGTGGTCAGAACTAGAGCCGTAGAAGCAGGAGCAGAATGCCTGATATTTTCTTGTATAGGTAAACACCAGTCCTTTAAATTACTTTCCACGGGCTAAAAATAGAATATTTGAGAGGCATAAAAAGTTTAAGGAATGCCTACGGACAAGGCCTAGTCTTGTGGTTTTATTGTAGGCCAATCCAGCCACACGGGCCAGTCAAAGTGTGTGACCTGTGGGACGGCATGTTTCCACCTTAATGGGTGAAGAGAGAATAGTAATGAGTCCAGAGAACACCAGTGGCTGTGTTTGTCCTGCTGCTGAGTTTTGTACATGGTCAGTCAGTCATACTGACCAGCTGGTGCTCCCCTTGTCCAACAGTGGTGACAAGCTGCTGTCCTGTCACCTGGCCACTAGCAGAGACTCGAGGCTCTCTCGGTTTTTAACAGCCACGGCTGTAAGGAACAAATTCCAAAGCTGTGTGGTCACCCTTCAGAGACAAGCCATCAGAACTTTCAGGAAATGTAATTTTCCATTTTCAAAAATTGAACAGTGACAATGAGGTAGTAAATCACAGGAGAGAAAAGCACGTTTCTTACTATCGTACCCAAGGTAATTTTTACAAGATTTTCATGACAAAATGCACACCATTTGCTTAAAACATCCTTAGATGCCCTTTCCCCTCTTCTCTTTTAGGATGTAGAGTACATACGATCCCATTACAACATTGAAGATTTCATCTACTTCAGTCACCACCAGCGTGAAGAACATGGGCACCTGTATCACTTTGCCCTGAACCCTGTCTTTCGGCACTACACCAAGTTTTTTCTGAAGGAGATCCTCCGTTTAGGCTATAAGTCCTGTCTCTACTACCCTGTTTACCCACAGATCAGGGAAGGCAAGGTAAAAGAATGTCATCAACCTTCGAGACGTCATTTGTGTCATGTGCCATATTTTATTCCTTCCTCGCTGAATGGATTTGGATTATAACATGCCTCTGAATTTCAAACGGCCACATTGGCCCTTTTATTTATTACACTATAGCGAAAGTCCAGAAGACTGAATTTCAGAAACATTCACAACCATTATAATTAGTGAACAATTTGTTGGCTTTTTCCTATTGACAAAACAGAGACTGAAAAGTGCAAAAATGCTCTAAGGGACATGGAAGTCAAATAATTTCTTATGGGGCCTTAGTGAAATGCCAAAGTGATCCTATTGTGTTCTTCAAGCAAAGAACATTTTTGTTTGAACTCATAGAACAAATCAATTCAATCCTATAAGATCGGTGTGCTCTCACAGCATTCCAAATAAGCCCTATAACCACTGCCGTAAGAGTGATGGATAAAAAGTGGAGATGTATGAAGGTGATGTAAACTTTATGTAGTAAATACCTCTATAACTCTGCCCAACACTGTTATACTTACGTAGACTAATCCTTTTGTGGTAAACACCATCTACTGTGTATCCATACATGCACAGATTGCAAGCTCTTCATTTGCTTCTGTCTTGCTTTCACTTACCCTATTAAGTCTTCAGAGCACTCTTCACTAGCTAAATTATCTTTTATCACCAAAGCAAAGGTGATTGTCTTTTTTTTAAGATTTTATTTATTTATTTGAGAGAGAGAGAGAGCAGAAGCAGGGGGAGCAGCAGAGGGAGAGAGAAAAGTAGGCTCCCCACTGAGCTGGGAGCCCGACATGGGGCTCGATTCCAGGACCCTGGGATCATGACCTGAGCTGAAAACAGATGCTTAACTGATTGAGCCACCCAGGCGCCCCTGTTTGTCTGTCTTGTTCAAAGCTGCATCCCAGTCCAAGTGCCTAGAAGAGTCGCACACATGTGTGCATGCGCACATCAGTGTGTATACACACACACACACACGCGCACACACACACGCACACATAGTGTCCTGGTTATTCCATAGGCAAGGGTCTCTTCAAGTTGGCTTCTCAAGGTATTGTTTCTGGCAAGTCGATCCCTCCGTCACTGACAGCTGGTCCTCAGCTCCATGTAGACTTGAGAGGTGATGAGATTCAATCACTAGGCCAGCTAGAAGTTGTCCCATGATATCCCATTCATGACCAAAATCTTTCTCATGCTCTGCCCAGAGCCCAGGATGTTGTCATGTTTCTTCTTTGTTACCATAAATGAGCTAAGCAGATTTTTAAAATAATCTGATTCATTAAACTTAAAAACAATCTGAGGTCTATCGGTACATTCCCCAAACCAGTAATTTTGCCAATGTACCTTATTTAACAAAAGCCTTCTGGGGAAGTACAGAGGGAACGGGGAAGAAGAAAAAACATGGAAAAGATCTTTAGCGAGAGGTAGAATATGCTCTAGTGATGGTTTTTTCCTATCAAAATGCAATGTGATAGGCATGTGAATGCCCTAAATTTGAACTTAAGGAGATGGAAGGTAACGGTTCTGGTGGAAAATCCTGGTCTCACACATTTTCTTTTTACTTTGCATTTGGCCAGTCGCCAATGCGGTGACCTTCAGGATGTGATATTAAATTCTTACTTTTTATTCATGATGTTGCCTGCATCATGACTGCCTGCAGTTGGTCCAGAAAGTCCTTTTGCATCCATAATAAAAAATTGTATCTTTGACATTTCACTGAACGTTCACATATTTACCTCAATCGTGTAGAATTTGGAACGTGTTATGCACTATTTCATGTAGGATATAGAAACACATTTGGAGACAGATTTTTCCTCTCAGTCTGCACTTCCAGTTGATTTACATATATACCTTTAAACAAGTGTAAGAAGCAGTACCAGGTAATTTAGGTAAGAATTTCCAAGGTCGGCTATAAATCCCTTGACTATAGTAAAAGTGAACATTGGGCTCGAATTATGAAGATGGTTTTCCCCACACCCTCCTGCCAGGACATGTACTGAGAGATCCTCCAAGCATAAAAGCAGAACTCTGGCTAGGAAATCCTGGGTTCTGTTTTTCAGTGTGTGAAGTCAGGGTGTGAAGTTCAATGGTGAAGGATTTTAGAAATCCCTTTTAGAAGCTCTTAGAAATGCCTGGCGGTGGGCCGGGGCGAGGGGGGGTAGTGGTTTCAAATAGCAGCCAAGCCATACGTTTACCATCTTATTTATTAAACTGCCCCTAGTTTTAGTTGAGTTTTACTTGCTTTGTTTTCCAGTTTAAATTCCATAAATATGTCATTAGGGATTTTGGTGTCACAGTTCAACTCTTAAGGTTGAAATGGGTGAAATACCCTGAGTTAGTTTCACCAGAAGCCCCTCCGATTTCATAAATGTGAAAGGAATAAAAATCACCATGTTCAGTTTTCTCTGCCAAGTTTTAAAAATGGGGTAAAATGAATATTTAACACATTCTCCTAAAACATGATTTATCATAGTCTGTTACAGTAAGCATAAATCCGGCTCATAATTTAGCATTAATACAAGTCAAAATAATGTGATCCAATTTCCCTACCCCCCACCCCACTTTCCAGTTTCATCTTTTTGTTTTAAAACACGTCTTTGATCAACAAAGGTCCGGTTGGAGTGGCTGTGCCTTTCACAAACAGGAGGATTTCCACGTCTACGCTCAGCCTCCCCTCGATGATGTTTTTATCTATGTGCCTTCTTAAAGCAGCTTGTGCCAAACACGCAAAGGTTAACAGGACGCAGATAACACAGCTTAACGGGGTCAAATCAAGCTGATTCATGATCACTATGGAGAAGAATATCCTCCTGGGGAAAATACTTGTACTGAAAAATCCCATAAACCAAACCACTTGTTTATCTGTCATTCCCACAGAGATAGTAATGTAATTACTCTCGTAATTATCTTCATTAGTGTCAGGCATTATCTACAATTCATTCCTCTGCTCGACAAGTATGTTTGTTTATTTGCTGATTTCCCCCCCTCTCCGATTTGGCCCGGTTCGGACTTCTGTATTTGTGAAGCCGCGGGCACACATCTGTGCTGCACCGCCCTGACATTCTCTCCCCTAAAACGGAGATTGCTGTCTTTCAGTTCCAGAGCTCCTATGCCCACTCCCTGACATCCGCCCTTCATTACTTGGTTCCCGTGCGGCCGCGACGACAGATTGTCTATCCTCTGGAAAAGCTTGGCATCAACGCTCCATCAAAGGCGGTCTCCAAGGATCCGGTGGGTAGCCGGGCGGCAGCAGGCAGGGAGGCGCCGTGCCAAGGCACGCGGGCGTGGCAGATGGGGTAGCAGCACTGTCTTCTCGGGAGCAGGCTGCTTCTTAATTACAGGGAGCCTGGAGCTCATGCCCTTACAGGGGCGTCCTGCCGAGGCTCTCCTGCAGCCCTTTCCCTCAAGTGGTTATTTCGCAGAAGCCCCGGAAACAGAGGTGGCCTGATCCCTGGATGACAGACCCCATGGGGACGCTTTGTGTCTCGGCACAAGTGGCCTGGAGTCAGACTCCCAGCGTATGTCTGTTCTCTTTCTCCTTCCTCAAACGCAGATTCCCCCTTTCCATCGATGTTTGGTTTGCAAGGCGAAAGGGGGCATTCCCAAGTCAGACAAAGCTGACAGAGACTGTAAAGCTGGCTGCGTTTGAGATGTTTGGGTCCTAAGCTGGGTTTGTTTTATCTCCTCTGTGGGGGGTCAGGAGGATTAACAGGAACATATTAGCTGCCCTGGGGTGGCACGGGGCTTAGCCTTAAAGTGAACAAGCCTGGGATGCGTTTAAGACCAGAAGAGAAGAAACCAAAATGGAACCTAGATTGCACTTTCACTGGAAACGTACGTGTGTGTGCACACGGCCATGTTCAATGAATTAGCTGGAAAAAACATGATCTTGTCAAGTTAACTTACATACATAGGCTTGTAGTATTTGTATGCACTTCCATTTAAGTAAGTTGAAAAACAAAATTCCCTGTGTGCTGACATTTGTCCATTGTGAGAGAGGAAAGAAGAAAGTGGAAGGTTTTAACTCTCCAAAACCTTTGCCAAGGAGTTGCTCGAAATGGTGCTCAAATAAAGAGCTTGGGGACCCCAGCACTGCAGGAAGTATGTCGTTCAGCTGCCCGAAGTTCCCACTCTGCAAATGGGAGCACTGGGTGGGGCGGGGTGGGGCTCCATCAAAACCCGGCTTAGCGGCACCTGCTCACTGTAAGCAAGGCTGCTTAAATTCTGCACTCATCTTTACATTTGTTAAAACAGACAATAAATTTATATTTCTTTTCTGGTAAGTTCTAACTTTATATTTGAGGAGCGACTAAAAATCAATAGCAGTTCTTTCCCCTCCTAACTCTTTATTATGGAAAATGTCAAGCATATACCGAAGTAGAGAGAACCAGATAAAGCAGGGCTTCTCCTACTGTCTGTGCTGAGGGACTTTATCTTCTTTTTCTTTTTCTTTTAATGTAGAATCCATCATAGACGGATAGTTTTATAAAAGGTGAATTCCTTAAAAATGAGTTTAAAAACAAAGGGAGACAAAACTCAAGTCCAGTTATTTTATTATTAGATTTAACAGACACAGAATTACTCTGTCCAATTGTTATAAAAGCTGCTGAGTGCTTCTCTCCATCTCTATGCTTACATCTTCGAAGACCAATGACAGTTTGTAGATGGGCACCTGTCTCACACCACACGTTGAATAGCACTGAAACTCCCAGATACCTGGCACTGAGCTTCAAAAATTTCCAATTCTTGCAATTCTTGGCCCATTTTGGATCTTCTACACCCCCACCCACTTCTCCTTCCTCCTTATCATTTTAAAGCAATTCTCAGATGCATCTATTTCATCCAGGATCATGGGTATATTCTAGGTAGCATGGCCCAGAGCACTGCAGCTTACGCTCTGTCCACACTAAAGATAAGAGTGCCCGAGCCCATCTGGAGGACCTTGGGGATGGCCACCAGATGGTCTGTTTTCGTGTAGAGATCCTGGGAGTGGACTCCTTTGGAATGAAAGCCAAGACCCATAGGTTTGCCACAAGGAGAGTGCCTTGGGGTCAGAGAGGGTGCCTTTTTCTATGGCACCCTGAAACACAGCTTCCGTAGAGTCAAGCTGATCCCAGGAGAAGGTGCCTCCCTGCACAAGGATGCAGCTTCTGTGTCAGATCAGGGTAAGGAGGAGAGAGGCTGCCCTTTCGCAGTCACGGCTGACACTCCTTCAAGGATGGACAGACCATATTATTGGGCCAGGAGAAGCCTTCACATGGCTCTGGCACCTTAAGCCAGTTCAGGGAAGGGGAGAAATCCACCTGGTTATCAAGAGCAACATTTTTCTGAATACCAAAAGCTTCTCCCCACCCCAACCCCCAGGAATCTCCAGAGCCTGGAGCTCCAGGTAGGGAGAAAGCCAGAGAAAACATTTTGCTGCATTCAGAACAATCTTATCATGACTTCCCAGGTTGGTATGAGTTGAATCATTACTTACATTTAGTAACCTTTTCTGTGGTGATCTCAGTGTGCTGTGCGCCAACCCCCCCCCCCCCCCCCTGCCCCATAGAGCCCTGGCTTATTTCAAGGCACAGCAGAGGATGGACTGTTTAAATCACTCGTCCAGGAAGACAACCACTTACCAGACGGGTAGGGCTGATGCTTGGTACCTGCGGTGCTGTGGCCGTGTTGTCTATCGTATCAGTGAATTTTGACTTTTGAAGAAACACTTCTGCTGCTACTTATTGTACTCCTCCTTGAGAAGGTTTTAGTAAAGATGTAGATTCAGCAAACAAGATTTAGTAAATATTTTAGAAATCTTAAAAGTTTGATCAAAGGATTATCAAAACCATAATCCACATGGGACGGGCCTGGATATTCAAAAGTTAAAATGCCAAATTATATTATTTTAAATTATTTTTTTTCTTTTCAATATTTTAGTTGGATTTCATGCTTTAGGCCGATCATCTGAGACAAGGTGAGCCAAATAGAAATTTTCTAGGAGGAATTTCTATCGAGTCCTAAGAGCATTGTTTTCTTAGGAGAACAATAGTGTTGCAGCCATTGAACTTGGTGAAGCTGAGTGACTGTCATTACTGAATGAACTCCTTTTATTTTCCCTTTAAGTTTGCTATCTCCTCTAGCACATGGAGGCTATATGGCTCCTTCACCATGTCTGCACATTTCTCCGGCTGGGCACTTGCCTTTCATACCTTTTATCCTACTTAAACCATCTCAGAGTGACCATCCATTCCCTTGCTTTCACCTAGGAAGCCAGTCTTCAAGGGAACAGATCATTCCAGGCATGAATAATGGGATAGAGAGTGTTTCATCTCAGTGGGTTGCCAATTTGAATCTGGCACAAGCCAGCAGTGATTGAAATTCATCACTGCATGGCAGGGAAATATGCCCCCACCCCACCTCAAGGCCCTGGTTGTTTCTGCCTGGTTTGGATGATAGGTGTCCCTGCCATAGTACCTTCCCTATCATTAGTATTAATTGACAACCTGCCCCATATCGGGCCATAAGAAAGGACCTGGAAAACATGTAAATGGTTTTCATCACATATTACAGAGGTAGGTCCCAAAGATTCATCATGATATCTCCACAGTCAACCAGTGTAGATTCATGGATAAGAGAGAAGGCTTTTTTCTGACCAAGACTGTAACCACATGGGACAGGCTTGGAAGACTCACTTCTCAGCTTGAATTGGCCATCTTGGCCTCACATTGTGAGAATTATTGTAATGGAAATTTTTTTAAAAATGAATCAACGTATGGCCCACATGCATGAAAACTATGATCAGCAAAATACTCAAAATTTGGCTGAATTAATTGAATGGCCGTATTAAAGACTGTGGAGCAGTTTGAGCCACACTGACTTTGAGGTGGTTCTATTTTCTTTCCTTTCCTTCTCCCACATAGGGATACAGAGATGACTTTGACCCCTGCTCTCTGGGAGCTCACAGACTAGTGTCAGTATTAATGTAGGACTGTTTTGGCTAGTTGAGCCAGGGATGGGAGAGGGGCCACACTGGCCCCCGTATTGAGAGCCAGACTCAGGAGGAGGATCCACACTGGGGTCTGCACAATCACTTGGTAGGGAATGCCTTTGTTCCGAAGCGCTGTTTCCTTTCTAAGACCGGGATTTCAAATGAGTCTTATTTGTTTTGTTTTGTTTTAAAGATTTTATTTATTTATTTGACAGAGAGAGTCACAGCGAGAGAGGGAACACAAGCAGGGGGAGTGGCAGAGGGAGAAGCAGGCTCCCCGCCGAGCAGGGAGCCCGACGCGGGTCTCGATCCCAGGACCCTGGGATCATGACCCGAGCCGAAGGCAGACGCTTAACGACTGAGCCACCCAGGCGCCCCTCAAATGAGTCTTATTTGTGATATGAAATACCAGAAAATCTGCCTTGAGCTGAAACAGCTCCTACCCTTGCTTCAGTCTCATAGATGCTCCCCATCATCCACTTCAGTGTCTTTAGTTCTTCATCTTGGTTTACGGGATTCATAGAATTATAGTGTGAACTCATCTTTCTCCCCCCCCCCAAATTTTGGGGACCAGACCAAGCCATCATCTTTCAGATGACGCAGGAATCTTACTTTCAGTCTAATCGATGCCTGTTGTTATTTTTTGTGGTGGTTTATTAGTGATGGTCTTTTAAAATCTTGACTAATGAATTCTTTGAGGCCTCCATTTTCCCTTTGTCCTTCTACAAAGGAAAATGACAGTTTATTTAACCCCCCTTTCTCAGAGCTAAGTGCAGGCCCGCTTTTTCCTGGTATGTGATCTCTCAGGAAGATGTCACTCGCTGGCATTCAGTTACCCTTTGAATTGTCCCTTTTCATCTTGGCTGTTCTTCCCCAGTCCAGCTATAATTACCATCTGATGGACTGTTACTGGATACTGTTTCACTTGTGCATCTGCTGCCCTAGGAAATTGCATTATTCTCCCAGCACCTGCTAGATTTTCCCCAGCTTGGTTGTTTCCCAACGCCTTCTTCAAACTTGGAAACTTTGGCTGCCCCTAGTTAGACTCCCTTGGTTGTATTTGTGGTCAGGTTGTGTGGCTGTGTTTTAAAATCAGCCCATTAGCATCTCCTTGGTAGAGGTTGCTAAAAATACATACGCATGTTTTTCAACATTGTATATGCACTGATCATCTTAATGTGATGATGGTGATAGTATCTTGAAATGAAATTAACGCACTTTAAATCACTGCCCATGAGTCAAGTGTGCTTTTTCAAGC